CTGAGTCCTCTCTTCCTGCTCTTCCTGACCCGGAGTCCGACTCCCTTCGTGCTGCCAGTCCTACTGTCACGCGTCTCCTTGCTACTGTTGTCACTGACCCTTCTTTCGAGTCTACTGCTGCGTCTGCTCTCGTTACTGAGCTCGTCGACTTTGCTGCTCGCTGTCGCTTAGACTACGCTGCTAGTCTTGTCGCTGAGTCTGAGTCTGTCTGTCCTCCGTCCGTCGGGGGTGAGTGTGCCCTTGGCACGGACGTCCTTGAGGACAGGCAGGAGGAGTTCCAGTGTCTGGCAGCTACCTCACCTCATCTCGTGTCCGTACTGCTTACCCCAGAGGGAGACCCGGATGCACTTGACATCCCGACTCCGCGCTCTTACGCGGAGGCGATAGAGAGTCCCTACTCCTCTCAGTGGCAGGCAGCTATGGATGCAGAGATGGCTTCCTGGAAGTCCACAAGCACCTACGTTGACGCTGTCCCCCCTCCTGGGGCGAACATCGTCAGTGGCATGTGGATCTTCAGGGTGAAGCGGCCGCCGGGTTCTCCGCCTGTCTTCAAGGCGCGTTACGTGGCTCGTGGCTTCAGTCAGCGGCAGGGAGTTGACTACTTTCAGACCTTCTCCCCCACCCCGAAGATGACCACTCTTCGGGTACTGCTGCACGTTGCTGCTCACCGTGACTACGAGCTGCACTCTCTTGACTTCAGCACAGCTTTCTTGCAGGGCAGCCTGCACGAGGAGATCTGGCTGCGTCGCCCACCTGGCTTCACTGGGTCTTTCCCTCCTGGTACCCAGTGGAGTCTCCGGCGTCCAGTCTACGGTCTCCGCCAGGCGCCACGTGAGTGGCACGACACACTGAGGACTACGCTTGCGGCTCTTGGGTTTGCTCCTTCTACTGCCGACCCGTCGCTGTTTCTACGCACCGACACCTCTCTGCCGCCGTTCTACATCCTCGTGTACGTCGACGACTTGGTCTTTGCCACAGCTGACACTGCTGGACTCGCCTACGTGAAGTCCGAGCTGCAGAAGAGACACACGTGCACAGACCTGGGTGAACTGCGCAGCTACCTTGGCTTGCAGATCACCCGGGACAGAGCACGCCGCACCATTACCCTGACTCAGTCACACATGGTGCAGCAGGTCCTTCAGCGCTTCGGCTTCACGTACTCCTCGCCTCAGGCCACTCCTCTGTCTACTCGCCACTCGCTCTCAGCTCTGCCTTCGGATGAGTCCGTAGAGTCGAGTGGCCCGTACCCAGAGCTTGTTGGCTGCCTCATGTACCTGATGACCTGCACACGACCTGACCTTGCATACCCTCTTAGCATTCTTGCACGCTATGTTGCTCCTGGGAGACACAGACCAGAGCACATGGCTGCAGCGAAGAGGGTGTTGCGCTACTTGTGCAGTACGTCGGGCATGGGGCTAGTGCTTGGAGGGCGGAGTCCAGTGGTCCTCACTGGGCACGCGGACGCTTCTTGGGCTGACAACCAGGCTACGCAGCGGTCGTCACAGGGTTACACCTTCAGCCTTGGTTCCGGCTCTGTTTCGTGGCGGGCTACTCGCTCGTCTTCTGTTCTTGGCTCGAGTTGTGAGGCTGAGATCTACGCCGGGGCCATGGCTGCACAGGAGCTTCGCTGGCTCACCTACCTGCTGACCGACCTTGGAGAGCCGCCTCGTTCTCCTCCAGTCCTGTACGTAGACAACAAGGCCATGCTGGCCTTGTGTCGAGAGCAGCGACTGGAGCACAGAACAAAGCACATTGCTCTCCGCTACTTCCTTGCTCATGAGCTACAGCAACGTGGACAGTTGCGGCTTGCGTACGTGGCCTCTGAGGCCAACACTGCTGATGTCTTCACCAAGGCACTTCCGCCTTGTGATCATCAGTGCTTCTGCACTCAGCTGGGTCTTGTGCCCGTCTTGCCTCACTTGCTCTCCTCTTGACCTTGCTTGTACTCTCACATATATATATACCTGCTCTTGCTTGTCTAGCTTTATATATATGTGTGTACTCTTGCATGTGAACTGGCCGTGTGGCCTTGACCCTGTGCTCGGACTGTGTGGTGACTTTGTGATCCACCCTGAGCTTGCTTTACTTTGCTTTGCTTGACTGGTCTTGTGACCCCTTGTTCTCCCCCACTTTGCCTATGGGGGTGTGTCAGACAATTGTAGCTTATGCTGTTGTGTAGGCTATAGTGGGGTATCCCATAGGGGGTACAACCAATTAGGGTTTCATATTTGTACTCACTTCATTTCATAGTTCATTCATTCTTGTTCAAATCTTCTCAGAGTCCCGCCCGCAGCAGCAGGTGGAGTTACAGACACAGCAGGAGAGGGTATAGGAGTCACGACCGAAACAGGAGAGGGCAGCGCAGGAGTCCCGGTCGCAGCAGTGGGTGCAGCTGCAGCCGCAGCAGGAGAGGGCAGAGGAGGAGCCGCAGGAGCAGCAGCAGGGGCAGGTACCGTCGCAGCAGACGCTAGAGAAGGCGGAGCAGCAGCGACTTCGACTGCGCGACCTGCCTGACCTAGCACATGCACGCTTGGTTCGTGGTCCCATATTGTCCCCTCGTGTTCCCCCCGTCCAGTCCCTTTCCTCGTCCCAATGGACTCGTCGTTCTCCCCTCAGTCGTGCTGTGTCTCCGGAGCCCCGTCGGTCTTGTTACCGTGCAGACGGTCCATTTCACCTTGTTATCTGCTCTCGTGTTCCATCTCCTCCAGTCCTTCTACAGCCTCCTGAGTCGTCCTTCACTCTGCTTCACGACCAGTTGTCCGACTACCTCCGTGCCTCCCGTCCCGTCGTCTCCCGTGTTCTGTCCGCGTTGGTCACTCGCCCGACTGCACCCTTGTTGTCTGTTTTGGCTCTTGTTACCATTGTCGCTGGCGTTGCCTTTTCCCACCGTCTTGACTACGCCGCTCACCTGGTGAGTGGCCCTGCTCGTTCTCCGTCCTCTGGGGGTGCTCCTGTCTTTTTCCTAGAGGTCCTGGAGGATAGGCAGTTCGAGCTTGGTTTCCTTGCGGCCGCTGTTCCTCATCTCTGCGCCATGCTGCTTGCCCCTGAGGGAAATCCAGACGCCCTTGACATCCCGATCCCTCGCAATCACGCTGAGGCGGTCTCAGGACCCTGGGCTTCGTACTGGATAGAAGCTGAGGAGGCAGAGATGGCATCTAATAGGTCCACACGCACCTACGTCGACGCCGTCCCACCACCTGGGACGAACGTTGTCAGTGGCATGTGGCTCTACAAGGTGAAGCGGCCGCCTGGAGCACCACCGGTGTTCAAGGCGCGCCACGTGGCGAGAGGCTTCAGTCAGCGAGAGGGGGTAGACTTCTTCCAAACCTTCGCTCCCACCCCGAAGATGACCACCCTTTGGGTGTTGCTGCATATTGCAGCAAAGCGTGACTACGAGTTGCACTCCTTGGACTTCTCTACCGCATTTCTTCAGGGGAACCTGCACGAGAAGATCTGGCTGCGTCGTCCGCCTGGCTTCACTTGCACTTTCCCTCCTAAGACCCAGTGGCAGCTGCGTCGACCGGTCTACGGCCTGTGCCAGGCTCCCCGCGAGTGGCACGACACGCTACGTACGACTCTTGCAGCACTTGACTTCTTTCCGTCGTCTGCCGACCCGTCGCTGTTCGTCCGCCGTGGCTCGACCCCGTTCTTTGTTCTGGTCTACGTTGACAACCTGTTCTTCGCCACTCCCGACCGACGCACACTGGCCTCCGTGAAGGAGGAACTGCAGAGGAGAGACACTTGCACTGACCTTGCTGAGCTCCAGCGCTACCTCGGCCTGCAGATCACCAGGGACAGGGCAGCTCGCACCATTACGCTCACGCAGTCCCATATGGTCGAGCAGATCCTCACGCGGATTTGCTTCCTGTTCTCCAAGGTACAGCCCACCCCTCTTGCTGTGGATCATGGGCTCACCGCTCCACCTTCGGACGAGCCATTTGAGTCCATTGGTCCATATCCTAAGCTGTTGGGTTGTCTCATGTACCTGATGACCTGCACTCGCCCAGACCTAGCTTAGCCTCTTAGCGTCCTTGCGCACTTTGTTGCGCCTGTGAGACACCGACCTTCCCACTGGTACGTTGCCAAGAGGGTGGTGAAGTATGTGGCGAGTACATCAGGCATGGGACTTGTCCTTGGAGGAAGCAGCCAGTTACACTTACAGGTTTCTCAGACTCGTCATGGGCCGACGACGCTGAGTCGTTGCGGTCTACACAAGGTTACTGCTTCAGCCTTGGGACCGGAGCTGTTTCGTGGAGGTCGACTCGGGCGTCGGCCGTCTCTAGTTCCAGTTGTGAGGCAGAGGTGTACGCTGCGGCCATGGCCGCCCAGCAGCTTCGCTGGCTGTCTTTCCTCCTCACCGACCTTGGTAAGCGGCCTCGCTCTCTCCCAGTCTTGTTCGCCGACAACAGGTCTGCTATCCTGTTGTGCGAGGAGCCCCGACTGGTTGGGAAGGTGAAGCACATCCAGCTTTGTTACTTCCTTCTGCGAGAGTTGCAGCAGCGTGGCCAGGCACTCCTGCGACGTGTGGTCTCTCTGAGGCCAACACTGCAGACATCTTCACCAAGGCGTTGCCGCCTTGTGACCACCAACGTTCCTGCACCCAGCTTGGCCTTGTGTCTACAGGCCCTCACTTGCTTGCATAGAGATGCATTGTCTTGTACTCTTGCACCTCACTATATATTCTATATCTCTGCTTGTGGACAGGCCCTGTGGCCCCTTGCTTCTGTAGAGATGCTTGTCATGCATGTCTTGTACCCTTGCATCTCTTATATCCGCTATATACCTGCATGTGGACTGGCCTTGTGGCCCCTTGCTTGTTCTCGGACTTTGTGGTGATCTTGAGATCCATCCCGAGAGTTGTTTTGTTCTTGTGAACTGGTCTTGTGACCGTTGCTTGTTCTTGCTGACTGGTTCACTTGGGTTGTGTATTGCTCTCCACACAACTACCATCACCTAGACTATGGCAGTGTGTCAAACTATTATAGTTTGGATTGTTTAGTCTAGGTGGTGTACACCTTGGTTAGTGCTAGGGTTGGGTTTGGGCGGCGCGCGGGCGGCAGGGGTGCAAGGGCGGCAGCAGCAGCGGTGCGGCGCACAGGCGGCAGCAGCGCACGGGCAGCAGCGGCGCACGGCAGAGGGGCGCGCGGGGCAGCGGCGCGCGGGGCAGCAGGGCGCGGGGCAGCGACGCACGGAGCAGCAGCGCGTGGGGCAGCGGCGCACGGGGCAGCGGGGCGCGGGGCAGCAGCGCGGAGGGCAGCGGGCGCGGGGCAGCAGCTCGCAGGGCAGCGGTGCGCGGGGCAGCGGGGCGCGCAGGGCAGCAGCGCGCGGGGCAGCAGTGCGCGGGGCAGCGACGCACGGAGCAGCAGCGCGTGGGGCAGCGGCGCACGGGGCAGCGGGGCGCGGGGCAGCAGCGCGCAGGGCAGCGGGGCGCGGGGCAGCAGCTCGCGGGGCAGCGGGGCGCGCGGGGCAGCAGCGCACGGGGCAGCGGGGCAGCAGCGCGAGGAGCAACAGCGCGCGGGGCAGTGGGGCGCGCGGGGCAGTGGGGCGCGCGGGGCAGCAGCTCGCGGGGTAGCGGCGAGCGGGGCAGCAGCGCGCAGTGCAGCAAGTGCGGGGCAGCGAAGCTCACGCGGGGCAGGGCAGAGCCCGCAGGGCAGGGCAGCGTGGTGGCGTGGGGCAGTACAGCGACAGTAGCTGTGATGGGCAGTAGACACTGACCTAACCTACTCGATACCATTTTAAAGTGTGAAGCAGCGGAATGAATTGACTAGGATGAGTTCGGACACAAATATGCAACCATAACAGGGTTGCTCTCTCTAGTGAGTACCCCACTATAGCCTAGACCATAGTCATAACATTTGACAACAACCGCCAGGGAGTTCCTCATGGATCCCATCCAAACTTCAACTATACTGTACATGGAATTTCTTAATAGCATAACAACAGCCGAGTCAGCTGCGGTGCTCGCTTCCAGTGAGCATCACATGAGGCGGCCCACATAGTGGGTGCCCTTGCATGAGCTGGTGAGGTGCGGCCACTGCACGAAGAACCGGTCTACGATGCCCAGGCGGTGCAGCAGGCGGCCTGTGAGCGACAGGTGGTCCACTCGTGCTACACTCTCCACAAACACGATGCTGCTGCTCTGCACTCCCAGCACCTGCATGAACACGATGGTGAAGGGTTGTCGGATCAGGTAATGATGAGTCACACAAACCACATGTGAGTGCCTACAGGTGCTGCACTGCAACGCGCGCCACACTCTCCACGAACACGATGCTGCTGCTCTGCACTCCCAGCACCTGCCACCACGATGGTAAGGGGTTGCGGAATTGGGTTCTGATGAGTCGCATGAGCCGCACCCCCTTGCTCTGTTTTCCTGTGTTCTGGGACTGGCTGTGCAGGGAACGCAAAGGGAAGGAGACAGGTGTCAGATTGGAGTCAGGGAAGGTGTGAGAAGTGGGGAAGAGCAGGGGACATCCGATGTATGGTGATGAAGATGGTGGCTGTGGGTGCAGAAAGGGAGGAGGCACCAAAGTCGATGTAGTCCCATGCACCTCCCATGCACCTCCCATGCACCTCCCATGCACCTCCCATGCACCTCCCATGCACCTCCCATGCACCTCCCATGCACCTCCCATGCACCTCCCATGCACCTCCCATGCACCTCCCATGCACCTCACATGCACCTCACATGCACCTCACATGCCCCTCACATGCCCCTCACATGCCCCTCACATGCCCCTCACATGCACCTCACATGCAGTGTGAAAACGGCGATGCAGATTGGCAGGCAGGTGCCCGGCCCGTTGCAGAGCAGCTGCATATGCATGGAGCGAGACGGATGGACAAGGACGGGCACGGATGGGCAAGAATGATGAGCTGTGATGAGAGAAGAGCGCAGGAATGCTATGATGAATGCTATGCCATGGAATGGCATGCCACTGAGTGGCAGGTCCACGAGAAATCAGACTGTAACAGAAACGAAGCCACAGCAGCACAAGAGACAAGAGGAAAGCGGCATGGATGGACGCACCAGTTGGGGTCTGACACGCGCCACAAGCAGCATGGCGTGCAGCGTGGCGGCGATGGTGGTGAGCACTGAGGTGAGGTATGACTGCCCCACCTCTCGACTCCGATACACCGATAGGTACGAGGGGGGCGGGACAGGCAAGGCGGGAGCAGGCGCTTCCTGCTATGCATGGGATGTGCGAGCAGGAGTGGGGAAAACGCAGGATGAGCATGGAGGTGACGTATAAGTGCTCCACCTCTCGACTGCAATACCCCGATAGGTACGAAGGGGGGGGGGGCGGCCGAGGCAGGGGCGAGGGGGGAAGTGGTTGCTTTCTGGAATGGGGGGGGATGGGAGTGGGGACGGTGTAAGCGCAGAATGAGGATAAGCGCAGGATGAGGATAAGCGCAAAAAGAGGATAAGCGCAAGATGAGTGGTGGGTCTCACCTGTGCGAGGGCTTGCTCTAGCTGGCGTGCCTTGGGCAGGCTGATGGCGTCGGTGGCAGCAGCGATGTAGCAGCGCGGGCTGTAGCGCCCGTGGTCCAGCGCACCCACCAGACACAGCATCTCCGCCGTGTGGCCCCCTGGGAGAGGGGGAGACAAGGAGGGGGCATGGGGGGGGAGGGAATGAGTGTGGAAGGAGCAGGGAGGGTGAACACGTATGTGTGTGGTCCAGGGCGCTCACAAGACACAGCATCTCCGCTGTGTGGGCCGCTGGGGGAGGGGGGGGGGGGGGGGGGAGGGGGGGGGGAGGGGAGGGGGAAGAGAGGCGCGAATTGGCAGGCTGATGGGAGCAGATGTAGCAGCGCGGGCTGTAGCGCCCACTGTCCAGGGCGCTCACCAGACACAGCATCTCCGCCGTGTGGCCGCCTGAGGGGGCGGAGGAAAGGCAGGGGCGCGGGGCGGAAGGGAGTAATTGTGGAAGGAGCAGGGAGGGTGAACACGTATGTGTGTGGTCCAGGGCGCCCACCACACACAGCATCTCCGCCGTGTGGCCCCCTGAGAGGACGGGGAAAGGGAGGGGCGTATGTGGAGGGTAGCGGCGCAGGCGGAGGAAGCATGCAGGGGGGAGGAAGGTGCAGGAGGTAGGGGGTGCGCAGCAGCAAGGCGAGCATGAGTGAGTGTGGGGGAAGCAGGGGGGGTGAAACTTGTATGGCGTGCGAAAAGGGGTTGCCTGTGTGTGGGGAGAAAGAAAGGGCACAGGGTGCGGCGCAGCAAGGATTGTGTGGAGCAACGGTGCTGCGCGGCTGCATGAAACACGAGCTGCTGAAGCGGCAGTGAGGTTGGAAAACGAGCGTGAGGGCGGAAGGTGATGTGGGGGGGGAGGAAAAGATGCATGTGTCGTGGAGAACGGGGGAGGGGAGCAAGGGGGAGTGCGAATGTGAGCACATGAGCCCAGCACGATAAGAACCTGAGCCAAGCACGATAAGCACCTGAGCCCAGCACGATAAGCACCTGAGCCCAGCACGATAAGAACCTGAGCCCAGCACGATAAGCACCTGAGCCCAGCACGATAAGCACCTGAGCCCAGCACGATAAGAACCTGAGCCAAGCACGATAAGCACCTGAGCCCAGCACGATAAGCACCTGAGCCCAGCACGATAAGCACCTGAGCCCAGCACGATAAGCACCTGAGCCCAGCACGATAAGCACCTGAGCCCAGCACGATAAGCACCTGAGCGCAGCACGATGAGCACCTGAGCCCAGCACGATGAGCGTGGAAAGGTGGTCGCCAGGAGGCCTCTTGCGGTGCGGCCGCGCCACGGCGTGCAGCACGAGCAGCACGCGCAGCAGCAGCAGAGCCACGACGGCCGTGAGGGCGAGGGAGAGCGGCGAGGCGGGCAAGGGGAGGTGTGAGAGCAGCTCAGCCGCCATGCCTGCTGCTTCTGCGTGCTGCGCACTGCCTGGTGCTGGGATTATGATTATGTCTGCCTGGTGGCGGGCAGAGCGATGCTCAGAGGCGGAAAGGTGCGCGGGGCTGAGGGCGCGCGGCGCTGAGCATCCCAAAAATGATGGGAAGCTAAACCTACCACAAAGCTAATTCCTAGTTACTTTGTGGTAGGTGTCCAGAGATCAATTTCAGTTACTAGCGAACATACTAGAATCATGCGATGTGAGGGTTGGGGCCGTCCGAAAATAAACATTCTGCAAAGTTACTTACGGGTGGGAACGAATGTGTGATCGGCGAAATGACTGATACTTCGGGATGCACAAGCGAACCGGTAACACCGCGTGTGCGAATTGCATGGTCAGCTGCGATTTGTTCCTCAATTTGAGAAAGGGTCATTGCGAAGGTGTTGATTGGTCAAAACCAATACAGAGTGATTGCAGCGCCGAATTGGAACACTACGCGCGTCACTGTGTCAGTCGACCCTGAACTGTTTTAAAAATGACTCGTTACCTGAATACAAATGTATACAGTAAAATCCAGATGAGCTCTAAAGCATAATCATGATGCACCACTTCGAAAAACGTTGTTACATGATATGGTAACCAGGTAACATTAAGGTAACAAGTTCACGGTAATTAATAATAAAATCAGTACAATTAATTTTATTTTGCTCGTTAAAGCTGCACGTTTCTTCATGCCAGCTGGATTAACACTTCTTAACGCTTATCAACGATATTCATCAACTGGTTCTCCAGGGTCTCTGGTGGGCTATTACAGCCGAATTACGATAGTCAGTAAAAGTTAAAATCAGCATTACACGGTAAAATACATTCAAATCCTACCTAACCAGCAAGCTAAACTAATCTAAAGTTTAGGCGATAGCGGTATCAAGAACGCTGCAACGACAACGCTGCACAACAATAGAGATAAGAGAGCACGCAAGTTCAGTAGCAACAAGATTGACGAAACAAGCCACAGGGAAAAAATCACCCTGTGAGTCGGTACATACCAGTGACGGAAAGCGGCTGCCGACAGTCAGCCCAAGGAAGACTTGCACCTTGCGTTCTGTTCTTGTAAGTAGCCAAGCAAGAACCGTAGTATAACTGCCGAAAAAAAAACACACACAGACAAACATAACCACAACACTGCGGGATTAGGTAGTGAATCGGTACCTACCGGAACCTGTACCTACCAGAAGAAAAGCAAGCGGCTGCCGCCGGTCAACACATGGACGACGTCCGATCGTGTTTTGTCCTTCAGTAGCAGTAGAATTAACTGCAAGAAATAATAACAGACAGAAAACAGAAACGGAAACACAACACTACGGGATTATGTAATGTTAGGTGTTAGAACGTAAGGGAAGGAAACCGACAACTTGACATCCGCAGGGAATCACATATACGTAATGGAAGAAAACGGCAGCTAAGGCAGAGACTACTAAGCGCAAACTAGATGAAGCAGCAGACGAAACTGAGCGGCAGGAAACCGTGAAGCTAGAAAAGAAATAAACTATTAGGTGGTGGGTTGATGCTGATACATAAACGCGAGCGTCTGGAATGGGGTGGGGTTGAGCAGCAAGGAAAGAGGACGGGGAAAGGGAAGGATGGGTGGATTCGAGCAGCAAGGAAAGAGGACGGGGAAAGGGAAGGATGACGAGAAACGATGGGGGCGGGCCAGGGTAAAAACAAATAACAACCGAAAATACAGTAACTCCGGGAAGATTGGTTGCACATTCGTAATGTAATTACGAAACACTGTGCGAATGAAACTGAACGGTCAGAAAAGCAAAACTAACTGGAGTTATCCTAAAACTGCTCACAACCACACATGCCAGCGAATATCCCGCTGGAGGTGTCGATGGTGTGCGTGTGAAAATGAACGAGGAATGAAAAGACTAAGGGAAAGTTGGGTACAAGTACAAACCTTAGAAAGCTGTACCCCATATGTGCTACCCCACTATAGCCTACAGCAGCTAAGTCATATAAATCTGACACACCCCCATAGGCAAAGTGGGGGAGGACAAGGGGTCACAAGACCAGTCAAGCAAAGCAAAGCAAGCTCAGGGTGGATCACAACGTCACCACACATTCCGAGCACAAGTTCAAGGCCACAAGGCCAAGGGGTAAGCAAGTGAGGCAAGGTAGGCACAAGACCTGTCAGAATGTCATTGTTCTCTAGCCTGCAGTGGGGTACTCTATAGCGAGTACAACCCCTTAGGGTTTCCTATATGTATCCTGCTGCTTTCTAGTGAACCCCCTCTTCTTCTTTTGCCTAAACTTCTCTTGCCTAGCTAGGACTTACCTAGCTATGGCTCCTAACTCTATCTACTATTTTAACATGCTATCAGAGCAGGTCGATCCCCTTGGGTCGATCCTGTGGGTGGGCTCACCACCTCACTGCTTCCGCTGCTACTGCTACTCTCTGTGTCGCACGCCCCGTGGCGTGCGACGGATTTTTCATCCCGCCGCGCGCTCGGAGCGTGCGGCGGTTTTCTGCCCGCCGTGCGCCCCGAGGCGCGCGGCGGTTTTTCTGCCCGCCGTGCGCCCCGAGGCGCGCGGCGGTTGTCTGCCCGCCGTGCGCCCCGAGGCGCGCGGCGGGTTTCTGCCCCGTCACTCCGCGCGTCGCTCCCGGGAGGCGCTGCGACGGGCGATGGGGACCCGCGCGTCGCCCCCCGTCGCCCGTCGTGGCCTGCGCGCGGCTCGTACAGCCTGTGCGCGGCCCGTACGGGCCGCGCCAGGCCCGCGCGCGGCCCGTACGGGCTGCGCCAGGCCCGCGCGCGGCTCGGGCCGCCTGCGCGCGGTTCGGGCGGCTGTGCCAGGCCCGTGGGCGGCCCGTTCTTCGCTGCCCCTGCGCTGCCCGCTGTCCCCCGTGCTTCTGATGGCGCCCCACCTCTGCTGCTGCCCGTTCTCCTGAATTAGGGTTTGGGGGTGGGGGGTCTGGGGGTGCAGCTTCTGTGTGCCGTCCCCTGCTCCTCCTCCTCCTCCTCCGTCTCCCAGTGCTGCAGCTGCCGCTGAGGGGGGTGGACCTGTTGGAGCCGTCGGAGTGGTACTAAGGGGGGTGAAGGGGGAGTGGAGCTAGGGGTGAAGCAAGGGGTGTGTGTCAGGGGGAGTGGGACTGTTTGGGGAGGTTGAACTGAGGTTGCCGTCGTGTCGCCAGCAGCACCTGTAGTCCGGGGAGTTGCTCCGGTAGCCCAGTCGCAGCCAGCTGTGCCAGTCGCCCGTGGGTCCGTTGCTCGTCTGCCGCTACTTTTAGCCGCGGAGCCAGTTACTCCAGTAGTCCGGAGCGTTGTTCCGGTAGCCGCTGTGCCAGTGTGACTCCTGTTGCCCTGAGTACAGAAGCGCTGATGATCACAAGGCGCAAGTGCCTTGGTGAAGATATCAGCAGTGTTGGCCTGAGAGGCCACGTACGCAAGGCGTAGCTGACCACGCTGCTGTAGCTCACGAGCAAGGAAGTAGCGAAGAGCAATGTGCTTCGTTCTGTGCTCCAGTCTCTGCTCCCGACACAAGGCCAGCATGGCCTTGTTGTCTACGTACAGCACTGGAGGAGAACGAGGCGGCTCTCCGAGGTCAGTCAGCAGGTAGGTGAGCAAGCGAAGCTCCTGTGCAGCCATGGCCCCTGCGTAGATCTCAGCCTCACAACTGGAGCCGAGAACAGAAGACGAGCGGGTAGCCCGCCACGAGACAGAGCCGGAACCAAGGCTGAAGGTGTAACCCTGTGACGACCGCTGCGTAGCCTGGTCGTCAGCCCAAGAAGCGTCTGCGTGCCCAGTGAGGACCACTGGACTCTGCCCTCCAAGCACAAGCCCCATGCCCGACGTACTGCACAAGTAGCGCAACACCCTCTTCGCTGCAGCCATGTGCTCCGGTCTGTGTCTCCCAGGAGCAACATAGCGTGCGAGAATGCTAAGAGGGTATGCAAGGTCAGGTCGAGTGCAGGTCATCAGGTACATGAGGCAGCCAACAAGCTCTGGGTACGGGCCACTCGACTCTACGGACTCATCCGAAGGCAGAGCTGAGAGCGAGTGGCGAGTAGGCAGAGGAGTGGCCTGAGGCGAGGAGTACGTGAAGCCGAAGCGCTGAAGGACCTGCTGCACCATGTGTGACTGAGTCAGGGTAATGGTGCGGCGTGCTCTGTCCCGGGTGATCTGCAAGCCAAGGTAGCTGCGCAGTTCACCCAGGTCTGTGCACGTGTGTCTTCTTCTGCAGCTCGGACTTCACGTGGGCGAGTCCAGCAGTGTCAGCTGTGGCAAAGACCAAGTCGTCGACGTACACGAGGATGTAGAACGGCGGCAAAGAAGTGTCGGTGCGCAGAAACAGCGACGGGTCGGCAGTAGAGGGAGCAAACCCAAGAGCCGCAGGCGTAGTCCTCAGTGTGTCGTGCCACTCACGCGGTGCCTGGCGGAGACCGTAGACTGGCCGCCGGAGGCTCCACTGGGTGCCAGGAGGAAAAGTCCCAGTGAAGCCAAGTGGGCGGCGCAGCCAGATCTCCTCGTGCAGGCTGCCCTGCAAGAAAGCAGTGCT